TACAATTCGAAGAGATCACCTTTGAGAGATTATTAATTGTCTCGCAAAACCCATTGAGACTTGAATAAAACACCATTCATTCTCATTATTATCATGTATTTCTTTTTAATTGAATTGCCACGAGGTTAAGCTGCTTCATTGAAAATATTTTAAATTTACCCCCCGTCCCCCCTTTTTTTAAAAGAATGCTTTTGTCTGTTTTTGTCCATGCAATAAAATTCAGTGGGCTGAGAAACAACACTGGATCCCACAGACTTTCATTGTATAGACAAAAACACTGTAACATTCTTCAAAATATTTTCTTTTGTGTTCCAAATGTATTTTTCTTGTACATTTTTTGGGTGGACTATCCCTCATTTTCAAGTTAAAATAGACAAATAGATTTAAAAAGAAATCTTTGAATAAAGTAGTTTTTTCTTCAAGAAGCAACACGGCATTACATATTAAGGCTCTAGTTTATATATACACACACACACACACACACATATATATATATATATATATATGTCTCTTAATGTCAGTGTATTTTGTCTGACAGAATTGTTTCAAGAAAAATAACAAAAACAAGTTTTTTTTTTAAAGTGAAAAAATATACTTATATTCTAGATATATATTGTTTTTACTTGGAATTGTCTGACAGAATTGTTTCAAGAAAAATAACAAAAACAAAAAAACAAGTTTTTTTTTTTTAAGTGAAAAAATATACTTATATTCTAGATATATATTGTTTTTACTTGGAAAAAAGACAAGACATGTTCATACAGCTCTGCATTGTGCCTATAACAACGCCCGTTACCTGTTCTGAATTCACTGTAAACCACAGCATTTTGGGACTTTCTGCTTTACAAAGTCATACAATAAAATTGTGTGAGGAACAACATTTAGTGTTAGTCATTATTACCTAGAAATCTTAATTCTTCGTTAAGCATATTCTAATTGAAGCATCATGAAATTTGAATACAAACCTTTTATTGACAGGGACAAAAATGTCCCTGTATGAGTATGGTTTATCAATATCACACAAACAAGAGATCTGTTTTTTTTCCCCCGAATATATGCATAATTTCAAATGTGATAGAGGTAAAACAGTTCACTAAATATGATATGATATGGTGTTAAATTTTAGATGCAATATTGTGCGTCTCTGAGCAACACAGCAGTATTTTGTTATTGAACGAATCTGTGGTTTTTAACAAATGATTCAGCCAATGATTCAGTGACCCATTCATAAAGATAGTCAGTAGCTTTGTTCTTGAATGAATCAGCTATTTAGATGAAGTAATCTGACCGAATAACTCATTACTTGCCGCCACCTACTGGCGGTTTTAGTTTCATATTGTGAGAGTATGATTTCATTTTTTTTTAAATAATTTAATATTTCAGTATTTCTTTAAAAAACAATACCCATTAATTATCATTAGTTACACAATCAAAATATTTTTTTTCTAAAGCTGCTTTTTGTGGTATCTATTCAATGCTTTTCTCATCTACCACAATAATTACTTTAAATGATCTCTTGGGGGGATGTGTGATTAATTTGTGATTAATTTAATTAATTAATCAGCACATCATGTAATTTATTAGCTTAATAAATACGGCCCTACTAAAAACATGTACAGTACAGCAGCATTAGCTGCTGCTGGATAAATTGAAGTTGTGCTGACCAGGTAAAACCACTTAAGAACAGGAGCTGGTGCACTTACTACAGGCCTATCATTTACTAGCGACCTGCTGAAAGCTTTAGGGTTATTAATAGATCTTGCCGAAATGAAAGTAAACACAACTTTACCTTGGAGGAACTGTCTGTCTTCTTTAATGTGTCAGGTAATAATGGCCGTACTTAGTTCCCTCACAAAGATAAATTGGCGCAGCCAAAGAGTGCTAGGCAACTCTACCATTCTCCTCTGGCTAAATGAAAAACTCATCCCAAGGGAAGAAATATTTTAAAACATCTTAGTGAAGCACTGTTCAGCTGTATTAGTCAGCAGAACCGCACCATTAAAAATTAGCTGTTTAGATAAATCAATTAGGTAAAGAATAGCAGTGCTTCTCCATTTCCGCAAGGTTGGTAAGCAATTCTATCACACTAGTGGCATTGCATAATGTTGGCTTTATTAGTGTTTATTTGAAATATTATTCCATTGTCATGCCCCATATTTTTCCATTGTAAAATAAATTACAGATAAACATGATTTTTGGTTGCACTTACAAAACAACAATTATTTGATTTTTCAACAGAAAAAAATAAAGGGACAGCAAAAAAAAAATTTGTATACATTTACTTGGAACACACAAGAAGATGCTATAGTGTTAATACAATGAAAGTCAATGGGATCCAGTGTTGTTTCTCATCTCATTAATTTTCATCATGGACAAAACATTATTGACATTATCTTAGTTGTGTTTTACAGAAGAAAGAAAGTCATACCGTTTGGGAGGTAAACGATGACAGAATTTAAATTTTTGGGTGAACTATCCCTCATTTTCAAGGTAAAATAATTCAAAATCTTTGAAACAAGATATATTTACTCAAGAAGCATCTCTTTAATGCAAGTGTAGTTTATCTTACTGTGCTGGCAGACTTGTTTAAAGTATAAGACAAAAGATACTCTTATATATCAGGGGCATGCAGCTGTGAATGCTCCATATCCAAGCCATTTGAGAGACTGGTTTCGGGAACTGGCTAATTAAGATTAACCCTGCTATAAATTCCCTTGTCATTTGATGTGTAATGTAAAGCTTGCATAATTAAATATTGGGAATATGTATGAAAAGCAGTCCGCAAATTGCTCCTTTAAGCGGAAAACTGCTGTTGCTGCCAGATCACAATTATCGAAAATCAAATTGTATTTAATGCAAACTGAACTCAAATAAATCAAATAAACAAAAAATCATATGCGTACAGTTTCTTGCACATACCAATCGTTTCTCTTCATAAGACCTCAATATATCATTAGAAGCCACAGGTGCTTCATTTTGTCTTGCCTGCGTATACATTTTCTTGACTCTCAAGTAGGGATGGAACGATTACCGGTTTCACGATAAAATCCCCTGACGGTTAGTATTATCGTTTAAAATTTAATTATCATCAAAACCGTATTTGATTATCGCGATTTTTAAAACTCGCGGTAAATCCTGTCCGGCCAGCATCAGTCTGACGCAGAAGCAGCATGCAATGTTGTTGTTGTTTTTTTTTTGCACGAGAGGAAATGGCGGAAGGCGGTGACAGCGCTCGGGAGATTTTTCAGCCATCTAAGAGGACCAAATCGGTGGTCTGGTCGTATTTTGGCTTTTACGACAGTCCTGAAGGCAATTTAATCGAGGATGGTCACCCTGTCTGCTGATCTTGCAAGAAGAAAGTCGCTGCAAAAGGGGGAAACGCATCAAATTTGCCCAGCCATCTTCGTGACCACCACCCACTGTTATACAGCGAATGCAAGGTAACTTTTACCTCAATACCAAAACTAACTGGGCAAATAATTGGACAAAAAATATTGATTAGAGATTAAATATTTCGTTATCTCACTTGTAATAAACGCAAAGCTTCCGCGAAGTTCTCAGCAAGTGGCTTTGAGCCAAGACGAACAAGCGTTCAAACTATAAGGTTGACATTTAAGGGATAATGTATTGTATATTCATAGTTAACTTATTACACAGATTTTTTTTT